GTCGCCTGGAGTCTCAGCCCCTCCCGGAATGTTCGTGGGGAGGAGAATGAAAAGATCCCTTTGCAGATTATTGGTGAGCATGGGCTTGCTGGCAAAGGCTCCGTCTTCGTAGGAAGCAGGTGTAAAGTCTCCAGTCGGATGCAGAGCTCTGGCGGAGGGATGCTGAGCATTTCTTGTAAACATGCGTACGCATCAGGATGGCGGCTGTGACGTTGGTGGCACACGATTTTAAGAGCCTGGCACCCCTCCCCCCATATCCTTCTCCTACCCACGCACTGAAACAATAATTCTTCCTATGTTTCTCCTGGACTGTGGCTTAGCCGTTAGAGATTTGGATTTGAATCAGTGCAGGGTAAGGGGGACATGGGCCTGTGTGCCGTGGGTGCAGCAATGCACACGCACTGTGCTATGGGGACAGGAGGCGGTTGGCCCCTTGGCTGGAATTCGCCAAAGGGCAGGTGCAGGGCCAGTTGTTACAGATGGACCAGGGCGGGTGGGGCCCTTGGAGCCCTGCGTGTGGGGGAAATCACTGGCCAGGTAAGGCCATGCTAAGCCTTTGCAGCTGCCGGGGGGCCTGTTGGCTGCTTGGCTGGGATGGTATTAATGATGTCTTTCCATTTCTGTCTTCCACCCCAAATTCCTTCCCAGCCAAGCTCAGGCTTGGGGGAGTTTGTCTTAGGATCAAGTGCTTCCCCATCTACTTAACAACAAATATCCATTATTATTTGTGAACCCTGATTTCATTGCTTCTAAATGCGTTTATCAGCTGGGAGGAGGCGTAGCCTTGTAAATAAAATGCGGTTTTGTTGTAAAAGAAAATTAACTCTGCGTGTGTGTGTGTGTGTGTGAGAGAGAGAGAGAGAGAGAGAGAGAGAGAATATATATTTGTTCATGAGGTTTAGGATTTCATATTTCAGAACCCACCCCAACGTGATACTGTACATTTGAGCAAGTTGCCTGCTGCACCCATTCATTTTTCCTCTTAACGAGTCAAACATTTTAGCAATCCCTGTACTTTATTCGGCTCATAATAGCGAGAGCAGCAATATTTTCCAGGGCCGCCTGACACTCGGGGAGCCTTTCACGAAAGCAGAAATCATCTCAGGGGAAAGACCTCATCTTTGCCTTCTTTATTTAAGGCTTGAGTTTGCCGGACAAGACAGCCTGAGGGGCTGGTTTGTTGGGTCTGGGAACTCAAAAAGCTGTTTTTATTATGTGTCTTTTCTCTTTCCTGGTGCTTTCTTATGTCTGGGTGGCAGTTTGGGCTGCTCCGGTTCTTCCTCGCAGAGGCCTGGTTCTCCGAGCCGTGTGGGGCCGTGGGGCCCCGCGTGCCCATAAGGACAGGGAAGGGAGGGTACTGAGGGGGCCAGGCGCAGCCCACTTTGCCTTTCTCTGAGCTGGGCCAGGTGGCTCTTTCTCCTTTCATTTCTTCCATTATCGATACAGTTCTAAGAAGGGCCGCGCACACACGCACACACGCACCCCACACACCCAGCTCAGTATCCGCCTGCCAGCGGAAATGAAACCACAGCCCGTCTTTGGGGGTGTCTCCGAAGGCCCTGAGTATGAGCCTCCAGGCTCAGCAAGCTGTCTCGGTCCACCCGCTGTGACCCAAAACTTGACAGTTGAGGGGTTCATGCTGCCTCTGCTGCCTGAACTTTGGGGGTGACGTTCCCACCTTCTTGAGTGAAGTATCTCACTCACTAGATGAAGCCCAGAGCCCCCCGCCCCCCCCCCCCGCCGGGGGAGGGGAGAGAGGAAACCCCATTCTTGGAGTAGGGTGAACACCCGCTGTCATCTTGAGTTTTACTTTCAACGCTGACAGTGGGAGGAAAGATTTGTTTGTTTGTTTCTTTTGCCCCTGGACTCCCTTGGAGGCAGCGAGCTAGGTCCTGGGTCCTGGGTCCAGGAGGTGGGGTTCAGAGCTGTCTGTGGGCCTGGGGCAGGGCCTGGCCCCCTAGGGGGGCTCGGCTGCCAGGGGGCCGAGGCAGGAATCCCCACTGCAGCACAGTGAACGGTTTCGGATACTTTCCAACTCAGTGACGGGGGCTCACAGGGCCTGCTGCGGGAGGAAAGTGAAAAGGCCGAGAGAGCCAAATAAAGGAAAGAATACCAGATGTCACCAAGAAAAACAAAAAACAACCAAAAAAACGGAGAGAAGAAAAAAAAAAGTGCTGGTACCAAGTCCTCAGCGAAAGATGGAAGGCAGAGAGGCAGGAATGCCTGCGAACAGGCTTACGTGACCTTTGCTAATTTTTAAACTAGTCTGTGTTTCTCTTGAATGAGAAGGATGAATTGAAATTACGTAGCTTACAGCCTCCCAACAGAGAGGAGGTCTGCGTGCTTCCTAGAACTCCTCCCCGGAGAGTGGACAGGCAGGGCTGAAAAAGTTAATGAGAAGCAAAACAAAACAAGGACAAGAAAGATTAAATTATTAAGCGGCAGGAAACACCTCCCCGTGCTTCAGCGAGGACGGTCACGCTTGGAAGTGTGGCCGTCTTGGTGACACAGCGGAGCGCCCGGCCTGTGGGCGAGTGGCAGTTGAGACAGGACCAGGTACCGCCGCCCTTCTCACCACCGAGCTTGCCCCTGCTCCTTCTGAATTCTCTGTTTCATTTTGTCTTTTTTTTGCTTTTCAGCTCATTTCCTTTGTGCCTCTCTCCTTTTTTTTTTTTTTAACAAAACAATATTTTGACATCCTCCTCCCATTTATTAAGAGTTCCTTCTCTAGAAATGGCGCACAATACATCCTTATATTTCTAAAGAACTGTTTTCACAGCCCTCTCCTTTGGCTCTGAAATTATGTATATGTAATTGGTAATTAAAGGTGCAAGCTTTTCAATATAAACAGTATTGCTCAATGTTAGATCATTAAAAGGAAAAGAAGCACCGAATAATTACCTTTTCCATTCTGACAAACAGTTCACAGGAATCCGGTCCCCCCTACAACCACTGTTCAGCATGAGGGTTGTGATTACATTTCAACCATACCAAAGCATCTTTTCATAAAATAAATTGGTAAATTAATTATGTAGCATTGTCTTCCACCTCCTTTGAAAATAAAGTCCCAATTTCTTTTTTAAAGTGTAATTAATGGTTCCTGGGGCTGGCTTGGTGAAAACCATTTCTCTTACCTTATAGGTTTTTTTTTTTTTTTTTTTGGTGTGTGTGTGTGTGTGTTAGAGGTATGGAGACAACAGGTTTAAGGATTTCCTCATCTTCGGGGTGTTTTTGTCCTGACACGGATCTCATGAATGTCCAAGTGTAATTCACGGAGGAGTCAGCCTGCTTGTCTCTAGCCACAAGCAGGACCTCAAATGCTAACCTCCTCCCCAGCCGCCCTTGACCTGCTCACATGTGGCTCACACGTGTCACCTGTTCTACAATATCCAGCCTAGATTCAGCATCACGCACGGATTCCCACGGGCCCTGAAGAAGCTGTGTTCAGAAAATACAGGACAGGGATTCATATGTAAGATAGAAGATGCCACAGAGTTTTTTTCCTTAAATTATCTGTTCTTTGGCTCTGGCCCGTTGGGAACTTCACTGCCCCGGAATGTGTTTTCCCTCCCATCCATCCCTTCTCTCCGTTCCTCTGTGGTTTTCATTATATCTCACTAAATACCGTACAACTTAAAATTTACCTGCCTCCTCGGTTGTCAGACCCTTGACTTTTCCCAGCACCCCAACCCTCGTGCCGGCCCTACGACCACATTGTTTGCTCTTGAAAAATTCCAACCCAAGTTTGCTCAGAGCCCGAGGAGATGTGCAACCTAATTGTCCACTCCCCTTATTTATGACATTTTCGGCGGCCGAGTCTTCCCCTTCTCCCCCTGGGGGTTGCTGCTGTTGGGGGCATTTACTGGCTTCAAAATATTTGGGTCCCCTGTCCCCTCCAAAATAAAAAAATAAAAAAGGAAGTATATCGGCTGCTAAAGAAATATGAAAATGTACAGCCCACTGAAAGTGTGGTTTGTTGTCTGCCAAGAAATGCTTTTGGAGTCTGAAGAGTTTCTTTTTTTTTTCCTTTTCTTTTTCTGGGAGTGAAAAATAAAACCAACAAACAGAAAGGACATTGGGAAGCTGATGAGTGCCGGGAGATCTACAAAGTGATGGCGGTCTGACCAGGAGCAGGGTGTCTGACGGGAGAGTGGCTCCCTCTTTCAGGGAGCGGACTAACAGCGTCCCTTCCCCTGCATTGTTGTTGTTGGGTTTTTTTTTTTTTTCCTTCAGTATTTCTTTTTGAACCGACACTCACTTGTTGCTTTCCGGGCATGTGGGCTTCTTTCTTTCTCTCCTAAGGCCTGGCTGCCTGACGCCCGTCTGGGGCTCTACTTTCTTGTCTGGTGTGCAGCCAGGTCTGAGGTAGAGGAATGCAAGCAGGGCTCCCATGAATGGGGAGGGCATGAATGAACCGTGGAAGGGAGGGGGCGGCCGATCGAGCCCAAGCAGGGTGAACCGGCTCTGGCGCACGGTTCTCAGCCTTGGCTGCCCACTGGAATCACCTGGGGAGTCTTAAAAACAAAAAGACAATCTGAGGTTTGGATCTGGCTGTAATTGGTCTGGGGTGCCGCCTGGGCACAGGGGGTTCGGGGCTCCCCAGGTGGTTCTCAGATGATGTGAAGTGGGAGAGACACGTGTCGAGCTTGAAGTACGGGGGCCCGTGACACTGAGCCTCTTGTGAAAGCAGGACGGGCGTTATGTACACGTGGATGCGTTTACATGCTATGTTGGGGGGTGGGAATCACCAGCAAATAAAGGACAGAGCAGTAAGTTTAGCATCAGTTCAGCAACCACCTCCATGGGCTGCGACGTTGCTCCCGGAGCCTCAGTTTGCCCATCTGTGGCCTCCGGGAGTCATGTGGGGACTTGGTGACCTCTAGTGTCCTGCAGCGGAGGGGCCTCCTCTTGGTGGGGAAGGGTTGGAATGGCCGCTGGGTGCCCGCGATTGCCTAAGCCCATCTCTGTCTTCTCTGCCCCCTTCTCCTCTCTCTCTCCAGCAGAGGCTGACCATGTGGAGGCCGCCATCCTCGAAGAAGACGAGGGTCTGGAGATAGAGGAGCCCAGCAGCCTGGGGCTGATGGTGGGTGGCCCCGACCCTGACCTGCTCACCTGTGGACAGTGTCAGATGAACTTCCCCCTGGGGGACATCCTGGTTTTTATAGAGCACAAGAAGAAACAGTGTGGCGGCAGCCTGGGTGCTTGCTATGACAAAGGCCTGGACAAGGGCAGCCCGCCGCCCTCCTCGCGCTCCGAGCTCAGGAAAGTGTCCGAGCCGGTGGAGATCGGGATCCAGGTCACCCCCGATGAAGATGACCACCTGCTCTCGCCCACGAAAGGCATCTGCCCCAAGCAGGAGAACATTGCAGGTATGGAATGTTGCCACTGGCCAGGTCGCCCTGAAGCCACCTCCTGAAGCCACCCGCCTGTCCCCTCTTTGTGCTGGGTGTCGGTGCTGGGAGGGCCCAGGGGCTACCGGGCTAGGACCACCAGCCAGGGCTCGCCCTTTCCGAGGGGCCACTGTCTGGGTGACCCTCAGGAGGAGACAGGCCTGGGGCTCAGAGAGGCACAGCTGGCCGATGGTTGCTTTGCTTTTGGCAATGAGACTCTGTTGTGGGGCCTAATCCATAGGCGGCCGGGCGTACAGAACAGAAATTTGGAAGGCTAGGGTGGCCCTCGGTTTGCTGGTGTTCTTGGCTTAGTCTCTGGCTGTGCAGCCAGACTGTCTTGGGTTGGAATCTGTTCTTCACAACATGGACAAGTCCGTTTTTCCATCTGTGAAATGGAGCTAGTGAGACCGATCTCCATAGGGTTGTGGTGAGGTCTAATGAGACGTGGCCTGTAGGCAGGGCCCGGTAGGCACTTAGGAATGGGAGCACTCATTTCTTCCTCCTCCTCTCTCTGGCCTCCATTTCCCATCTGTAAAAAGAGGTGCCCTGGTCTCAGAGGCCCCTCCTGCTGTTGCCCGATCCTTCTGGCAGGTCTAGAGAAGGGCTTGCGGGAACTTGCTGGAGCACTGCGCCCCTTTCAGCTGACCGCCTGGACAGGTGACTTTTACCACCTGAAGAACAGGTGTTGGGTTGTGTCCTCTGGCCACAGGGAGGTGGCACCATGTCCCGCCGGGCCGTGGTCACGGAATGCCAGAGGCTCCTCCAGGGAGCCCGAGCTCTGTGCAAGCCACAGTGTTTGCTTCTGGTCCTACTTCTGAGCCTGGGAGGCTCGGCCAAGACAGAGGGCCGGGGTGGCCTGTGTTCCCGCAGTAAGCGGCAGCCAGTCCTGTAGCAAGATGGCACCCGTGGGCGTGCAGACGAGGGGTCACATCCTGCTGGTTGGCTCTGGGCAAGCTGCTTCATGAGTCCAGGCCTCAGTTTCCTTATGTGTCAACAGCGAGTGGGAATACTGGCAGGCCTGGTGTGAGGACTGAATGAGCAGGGGCTCCGTAAGTGCTTTGCGGGTGGGAATTTCCTCTCAGGGGTCCCCTCTGGTTCTGCAATCTGCAAGTAGGTGCCGGCTGTGTTTTGGGCGTGGAAGCTAGTGGAGGTGCTGGAGGGACTGAGGCTCTGGGTGCTCCTCCTTGGAGGGGGTGAGCCTGGTGTAGCCCAAGGCACCTGCTCCCACGGGTAAGATCCATCCAGAGAGCCCCATCACCCAGAAGGCAGTCAGGGTAACGCAGCAAAGCCACTCGGCAACTGTGAGACTTCAATTTGCCTCAATTTGCCCATCTGTCAAATGGAATTAATGAGGTCTCTCTTGGGAAGAGACTGTGCTGGGATGCAGACTCCTGCTGGCACATGCTAGGTGCTGGGGAGACCCCATCAAGTCCTACTGGCCTGTGGGCCTTGCCTTCTGGCTGCTGAGCTAGAGTGACATCTCACACGCTCTCAAGTTGCCAAGGGCTTTGAGAAAAATGCCCAGCATGTTCAGGGCCATGGTCATGTAAACCCCGGCTTCTCAGAGTTCCCTGCAGATGTGAGTGATGCTGCCTTCGTTAGGGCTGGAGCCTCCCGTCCAGAAAGGTGCCGGGTCCCTTTTGTTGGTGGTGTTGGGGTCCCCATGCCTTTCTTTTCTTTGACACTGGAGGAACAGTTTTCCTCCAGTAGAATAAACACCCGGCGTCAGTGACCACAGACCTTGCCCACGAGACTCTGGTCCCTACTTATATTTCCATGGAAAGGCATTCTGCTTTCACCAAAAACCATCCGAATCCTCGTTTCACGATGAAGGTATTTCCCAGCGAGAGGCTGCCGATCATTGTGGGTAGGTTTGTTTAAGAAAGCGACTAGATGTGATTTCATAAAAGGCAAAGTTAATCTTCAAGGCGGCTTTGTCCTCACCCCCCCACACCCCCCCGCGCCCCTTTTTCTCGGGTTGTAATACTGCAGCAGCCTACAGTATTTTTATGTTATGTGTGACGGAAGATATTCTTGGCCTTTTCTGTTCAGCAATAGGACAAATGCATTTCTTCATTCTCGAAGAAATATGTAAAATAATCCCTTAGAAGTCTAAAGAGATATGTTTGTTCAAAGCATTTAAAATGTTATTTTAATCAAAGGCACAAAACAGTCTCCATGCTGTGTCAGCTGAAGACGACCATCCCGTTCTAGCGGCACGTTGTGCCTTCTTGCTGGCCCTCCTTCCGCTTCTCCCCTCCCTGCCTTGGCACCAACTTTTCTTTCTTTCCTTCTTTTTTTTTATTTAATAAAAAAGGAAAGATTAAAGAATAAAACTTCAGTGGCTCAAATGTATAAAGTAATTTAATATGGTGGGAGCATTAATTATTTTAGCTTAATTGAATTCTGAGGACTGCAGTACTTGCAGTTTTGTAGACAAGCCCTGTTTATTATTTCTCTGTGTAGATTAACAGTAAAGGAAACACAGATAACTTTCAGTTATTTATTGTAAAATAAATGTGTCAATTCATGTGTAAAGCAAGCTGCTCAAAGATAATTGAGTCTTTATATTTTAAGAGGGGGGCCAGGAATCACAGGCGCTTCTCCACCCGGGCTTCCGGAAATCCGCACAGCTGCTGCCCAGGCCCCTGGCACCGCTGGCCTCGCCCAGGCCTCTCCTGTTCCTGCTCCCCACCCGAGGTGGGGAGGGATGCTCCAGCCTGTCCGAGCCCCACTGTTGTCCCCAGGGCCGGTTACTGGGGAGCAGGTGGCTGTTAACTCTTGGGGCTTGGCCTCTGGTTTGCCTGTCCCAAGGGAGGTGCCTGCGGTGACCATGTGGCTCATGCCTTTTGGGGAACCAACAATCTGAGCCTTGTCCAGACGGGTCCCAGCCCTCCTCGCTGCCCAGTGCTTCTAGAGGCTGGGCTGCAGAGATGGATGGGCAGGGCTGGCCTGTGGAATAGGTGGGGTCCCTTCCACCTTCCAAGGGCGCCCGCAGGGTGACATCGGAATTGGAATTCTGTCAGTCATTGGACCAGGGCTGGACCCTGGATCGGCCCTTTCCTTGGGACACTGGGGTCTGGAGATGGGCATAAAAGGAGTAGTTCATCATTTTTTTCTTTCTTTTGTTATTCTTATTTTTTTTTTTAATGATAGAGAAGTAGGAGAGTAGAAGGAGGAACTTCCTGGAGCTTTGTATCTTGGAGGGCATTCGTTCATTCATTCGTTTGTTCATTTAATAAACAAGCACCTACTGCTCTTCCCCTGCTCTGAGCATCCCCCTGGCTGCGAGGTGACAGAACCCCTCAGGGTGGGGGGAGCATGGTGGGAGGACGCCCATCTGGGCTGCTGCTCTGTCCCCCTTGGGGGACATGGCCCAGGTGTGAGCAGTAGCTGCCCTGCCCTTGATGTGTGCGGTTGTGGCCCGGGGCCCTGCGCCTTGGCTGTGTGCTGTGGGCAGAGCAGGGCCATGGAGCCTGTGTCTGAGGCCCATCTGGGGACAGAGGGGTGGAGTTGAGCCGAGGTGGGGGCTCGGGTCTGCCTATATAGGAGTTCTTTACCTTTCCTAAGCCCCCTTCCCACTGCATTCTCCCACTTCTGGCAGAGCTGGGGGAGATGGGTTCCAGGGTTTGCAAAGAGCAGGAGTCTCGGAGCATTATGCGGGATGGGTGTCTTAAGGAGGGCTGGGGAGAAGGGGGCTGGGGGTGTTTGGGGTTCGAGGTCCGTGCCAGGGAGGCCGCGTGCTGCCACGTGGGAATGGACCCAGCGCACGTCTGAGCCCTGCCCTGCCTCCTGCCAGCCTTGGGCCATGTGACCTGACCTCCTGAGCGGCAGTAGCCTCGTATGGGGAGCGCATCTAACAGTAACTGTGGTATTTAAGTGCTGCGTGCCTGCCTGGTGCACGGCGTGCCTGCTGCAGGGATGAGCGCCTTCCTCCCTTACCGGTGCTGTTTCCCCAGCTCCACTTCCTGCTGGTAGTGTAGCCAATGTAGGTCTTCCAGGATCTGGGGGAGAAACTTCCACTGGCTTCGGGGAACTCCACCATCAGAAACAACGTCAGAACCACTGCCGTGTGTCCCCCTCCCCCCAGCCACGTTTGGTCACGTTGCTACTGTCTTTGGTGGCCGCTCTGATGGTGGGTCCCTCTGGGGAGGAGCCTAGGGCGATCAGAGGAGCATGGGCTTTGGTGTCAGTGGGGAGGGGTGCAGTCCCAGGGCCCGCCCAGGCCAGCCACTTCACTTTTCTGGGCCTCAGTTTCCTCGTCTGCCCCCACTTGTCGGTCCTATGGCAAGAATGAACCGCGACGAGAGCCAGAGAGTACCCACCTAGCTCGGTCCGGCTGCAGCCAGATGCCTGAGAAGTGGAAGCTTCTTGAATAGCTTTTAAGAGGGTGTGGACCCTGCTTGGCAGCACGAGGTGTTGGCTTCTCAGTCAGAATCTTGAAAATTTCCCTCGGGTATCTCTCTCAGCATTCCCACTGATTCCTCCTTCGAATCCCCATTTTATAGCCACTGGAGGGAAGGTTCTTGATCACAGGTAATTCGTTTTCGCGTGTTATCACCCCTTCCACAACCAGATGAAGCTATAACTGGAGGAATGAGCCATCAGCTGTCAGTCAAAGGTTTGCCTTTTTGCCTTTTTGTCCTCCCCCCTCAAACCCCAAATGTCAGATTTCTGGAGAAATGCAGGAGACAGGCAGCGGGTGACAGGAGGTGGCAGATCCCCCTGGGCTGGAAGTGGCAGGCAGTTCCCTGCTGCGATGGCCCCACCCGCTCTGTACGTCTTCATCTGGAACCGAGGAAGGGTCCGGGGTGTGCCTGGAGGCAGGGGGTTAGCATAGCAGGCAGAGCACAGACGGGGGCTTGGTTTGGGGTCCCAGTGACCCACCGCTAGGCAAATGGTGCTGGAGAAAAGGGCTTCTGATCAGCTGGAGGATTTACATGCTGCTCGGCGAATGTGCATTTCAGACTTTAAAAAAT